TACTCCATGCTTATAAAAAGTAGTACTCCGTATAAAAGTTGTGGTTTAATAATTATTAATTTTTGTGGTTCCACTTAATGAATTTAATAATTATCAAATACGGAGTATGTAATATATAGGTTTTGATAAAGTTAGTTACCAAATAAGGTGGATTTTTATCATAAAATCTTTTGTTTCCATATCAATATTAAATCAAAAATAGAATCTAATAAAATAAATAAAAGGTACGTATTAAAAAAGTACCTAGATTGATTTATGTGGCAGGATCAAATGGAGAAATCTATTTAAAAAGTACGTATATATGATGGAGTATTAGAAAGGTACGTATTAAATGGAGTATTAGAAAGGTACGTATTAAATGGAGTATTAAAAAAACTAAATACTAATTGTTATACATGATGGATGACATGGCAGGATTAAGTGGCGCTTTGTATGCTCTTAAAAAGTTCCTCTTTTATATATATAACATTGATTTAAATAAAATAATAGTTTCTTTTTTTCAGTCACTACGATAGTTTGTTAATGTTGTTAGGAATCCCATAAAAAAATGTTCTTAGGAATGAGTACGTGGTGGAAATAAGTTGGACCAGGAATCAAACAGCGGTTCAGACCCGCCTAGGCATCGCCTAGCAAGCCTGGGGTCCAACCTAGCCGCCCACCTAGACCGCTAATCGGCTGACCGGTTCTTCTAGCCCATTTTTAACCATCTAATTTTCTCCTAATTCTGATTCTCTTCTTTCTCTATATCCACACCATTTTGTTCTCTCGTTCTCATCCATTTGCTATTCGCTTACCATTAACTTATCATTTGCTCTAGTGTTCGGATTTGGCATACATTTGTTCCATCTTATGTATAAGAATGTGGGTACGTTTATGCGATGTATAATCTGATCTGTTTAATCTAGTCTGGTTTGAGACTGGAATTAGCCCAATTAAAAACATCACTTGTCTAAATTCAAAATTAAGAATTAATTTATCTTAAATCCTTTCATAACTTAAGGTCCTCAATTAAGGAATTGAAGACTTCAAATAATTAGAAGAGATGAAGTATTATCTAGCTTCCAATTAGAATTAATCCAGGATTGGGAAATTTCAGTCCCTTTCAAAATGTGACCTACTATTTGATTAATTAGATCACATATTTAAAGTGTACTCTATAGAAACTGTTTCTATCTTTTCTTTCCTAGTGTTGAAGAGAAAATAAGAAATGGAGGGCTTCTGGGCAAAAATGCCCCTTAAGACAATTAAATAGCTACCGAGTGAAGATAATACGTAGTCCAGGGACGGTGCCAGCCATTCATCTGAGTGGTGTCAAACTTTTAAGAGAGATTTGCAGTTTTAGTCCCACAACTTTAGGCCGTTTTCATTATTTTCTTCATAATTTAGTCACTTGCAAGTTTGGTTCTATAACTAATAAATCTTTGCGATTTAAGGACATGTTCCCAGAAAATTACACTTTCCAGCAGAAAATCCAATGTCGGCGGCATTTTTTCCGGTATAGTTTTTTCAGAAAGTGTACTTTTCCGGGGAAATACACTTAAATCGCAAAGGTTTATTAGTGACATGACTAAACTTGCAAGTGACCAAAGTTACAGGACTAATAATGAAAACATCCAAAAGTTATGGGACTAAAATTGCATCTTTCAACTTTTAAATAAATCTCACTAATATAAAAAGATTTTACAAAAAATTATTGACAATTATTCATTTTCTACAATTATTCGAGCCAGGTTTTAAAATTGATAAAATGGCTTTACATGATACTCCATATCAAGTACCACCGGCAATAATACACACCATTTAAATAGTTATTTCATATTCAATAACTCAAATGTATATTAAAAATGATACTAAAACACTTTCTGATTCAAATTCGATCATTTAAGTCATCATAAAATTAATACAAACCATTAAGTAAAGCTTATTTGATAATAAAATATAATTGTTGCTCAATTTTTAAATTTAAAGTTCACTATCCTTATCTTGAATAAATACTCTAGTGCATTACTTATTGAAATGATCTGAGTAAAAAATATTAATCATGGTTAGATTTGATTGCATGTAAATTTATTTTAGTTAAATAAGTATATTTAATGACTTTTCAAAAATATTTCTGAAATAAACTTATTTTCAACACTATCACTAAAAGTTATTGTAGTACAGTATCATGGCCACTTAAGTATAAAAATTGAACATAAATTAATATAACTAAAGATTTCTAATCTAGTCACAAGACTTTATATATATATATATATATATATATAATTAGTTCATATATATTTATATTTTGACCCTCACTCTATATATGTGGTGTTAAATCCACTTTTAAAAAATATACCTTCATAGATATAACTGCAATATTTTTTTAGTGGTGTCAATTGACCATCATTCTATTTATATAGGTAGTGTCATATTAATTTTTAGAAAATAGATCTCTTTATATATAATTACAAAAAAATTGAGTGGTGTCAATTGACACCACAAGTTTGTATGTGGCTCCGTCCCTGACGTAGTCCTTGCTAACAAAATTAGAGTCCGTGTGTGTAAGGGAGATTCTAGTGAAAACTTTTTTTAAAATGAGAACTCATTTATAAATGAAAACTTTTAGTGTGTATCTTTCACATTTCAAATCAATGGTAAGCATCGTTGCGTTTTTATAACTGTTTTAGAGTAATAATAAACAAACATTGTTGCCTAAAAAAAACATTGTTTGACTTTTGAGAAATTACACAAAAATACACCAATTTCACCTTAACCTCTTACGAGTTCAGGTCAAGAACCGGTTTAAAAAAAGTACCTAATCCTAGACCTGTGCTCATGGACAATACACAAAAGACATCATGTTCATCCTAGACACAAAAGACCCATATGTATGCAATATGCATGTATATAAAATCTCAGAAGCTTGGTCCTTCCAAACGGATGTAGTCATACATGACTCCATTAAAAAGGTACCCTCCTCTTGCTTGCCTCAAATAGATTGAGTTTTCTCCATTATGAAGTTCTCTTCCTTGAAACTCAAAGCTAGTAAGCGTGTATGCTCCGTGGATTCCGTGTCGGGCAATCACATTGTCCCTTCCACTTCCGTCTGTTGTGAAGCTAGGGCGTGCATTTGGGTTATTTATCAAAACCTATGAGTACATGAAAAAGGATTGCATTTCATTTGAATACATGATGACACTAAGAGGTAAAACCAATATTTTAGATTGGATTGCAATGAGTAATTCTTCTTGTACACAAATTGTACACAAATAGTAAACCTATGTACACAAGCATTTTGGCATAAAATTCTGCATTTTTCAAACGAATTGCTTGTGTACACAGGCAACTAGGAGGGTTGTGTACTAAATTTGTGTGCAAATGTAATTTTCCTAAAGCAATAGCCAAGTGAGCAAAATAAAAAATGAAAAAGTGGTACACTACTAGAAACTTAAGTAATTGTTTATTTAATTTGCACTGGGATGCAGCCCACAATAACTTTCCTGTAAATCAGTCCATATTGAAGCAATTGGTTTACTATGAGCCCGTTTAGTGAGAGTATTTTTTGATTTATTAGGCTTATCAGCCAACTTTTTCACCAAACACGTAATTTTTTATTTCAAATGCTAAATTGTGTAATAATAAGAAAAAGTGAGGTTGAAGTTACTTTTTTATATATAATTTTTACATAAATCAACAGAATTAGTCAATGCAACCATTTCAACCAGAACTTCATAAGTTTCAGCAAAGTCAGCCGGTTCAACTTATTTTGGTTTTACCAAACGGGCTCTATATATTATAGTGACGACATGATGGAAATCCTTCATAAGGATTGTTCAGCATCAATTAAGTTGAGTAGAATGATGATGATGACAGTTATGATGATGATGATAGTGATAATTAGGGGTGTGCACCGGTTCAAAATTGGACTGGAACGGAACCAAATTTGCAAGAAAATAGAAACCGAAAACTAGACCGGATATATTCCGGGTTTGATCCAGAACCGAACCGGTTTTACCTGTACAAAACTGGACGGGAAGAACCAGTTTCTAAATTATTAATTTAATATACTAAAAAATACAATTAATTTGTATAATAAAAATGTGGTATTTGTTACTAATAATATTACTACTACTATTATTATTTAGTTATTTACTTCTATTAGTTTTATAGAGCAATGATTGAAACAATTTGAGTGTAAAATAGTAAATATTAGTTAATTCTATTATCAAAAAAATAATAATAAATAGATGAATAAAACATTAGGAAAATGTATACTACATATTAAAAAGATTACTATTTATAGTTTTATAACTATTGTCAATTTTATAGCTATTTTATAAGTATTCTATAACTATTTTATATTAATACTGGAGTATTAATTAATATATTAAAAAATATAGAAAAACCGGTTTAATCCGGTTCAAACCGGAACGATCCGGTTTTTAACCGGAACCGGACCAGAAACCGGATTTACAATATTTGAAAACCGAAAACCGGACCGAATATCACCCGAGTTGATTCGGTTCCATTTTCTTCGCGCGCTCCAGTCTGGTCCGGTTTTCCGGTTTGAATCGGTTTGTGCACACCACTAGTGATAATGGTTAAGTACTCTAAATAACACTTGCCTCAATTCTCGCTAAGTTGGTGGCAGCTAATGCTATCCGAAGGGCATATGTTCCTGTTACATTAACATTTTGGAATTGGAATGAAATCCTCCATGTCGTTGGTTCGTACTTGTTCTCCCCAACTTTCCTATATTATATGATGATAGAAAAATCATTAAGAAGATATATTAAGTTTCTTGTTTTCTTAACACTGCCCATCTCACTATGAATGTAAAAGAGGTGAATGCTATGTACGCATAAAAAAATGAGGGTATCATATTTATCATATATTTGATTGGTCAGAGGCATTATTTTATTATATGTTTATGTTTAATTGGTCCATGTAATTTCCCTATAAATAAACCAAGAAAGAGTTTCAAAACAAGATAATAATAACCTGAAGGAATGAAGTACCTATTGACATGGGCAAAAAACCAATCCTTTCGATAATCACTTTCACCAACTTTGTAAACCAAATCTCGGGAAGGGTAAAGATCTTTGTAACGATCCCATAGTCCATATTGCCTAAATCTGTTAGGTATACACAAAATGGTTTAGTAATACATTTTACATCACTTAATTTTAATTTAACTTTCCTTATACTAGTTTTTAAATATACTCCCTCCGTCCCAAAAAATTGTTCCCGGTTTCCTTTTTGGGTCGTCCCAAAAAATTGTTCCACTTTCTCCTTTTGAAAAGTTTTGTGTGGCTCACATTCATTTACCTTTTTCTTACACAACCACAACCATACATTTCCACTTTAATCCCACTTTCTTAAACTTCGATCCAAGTCAATGCAGGAACAATTTTATGGGACGGGAGGGAGTATATTTGTTTGTATAAGGCTAGCTATATAAGGGAACTTACTTTTCGGTATGATTAATCAAAGCGTAGTTCCTCAGCTCAGGTCTAGGATCAGGTACGAAAAATTCTGCAGCCTTTCTATCAGGGATGCCGATTTCCCATATCGTTGGACCATTCCTGGGAGGAATAAACTCAATATCACCGAGTCTAGTTTCTTCTCCCGGTCGAACTATAATGTCACCTTTGTTTCTATAATCTCCCAAGAAACCAGGGGCCCAACCATATAAGTTATAGATTCCAGGTCTTACTGCATTAACCTTGAAATACCCATTGCCATATGTTTTTGTCCAAAATTGATAACCCTATACAATAACACATTTGAAAATGTTAACTTTTCATTACAACATAAAGAGCAAAAGTGATTTTAAAAAAGTTGATGGAAATCTATCGAATTAAATAAAGTAGGATATCATGAGAAAATCCCCGAAATAGGAGTAAAAACGTCTGAAAGTTCTAAAATATGACTCTCATGTTTTTATTCCCAGAATAGTACGGAGTAGTAATTACTGCCAAACTTGGAAAATACTACCAAGCTTAAAGCATGGTACTGCCAAAACATGAAAATATTTACTTCTATTTAGGGAATAAAAATATAATAGTCATATTAGTTAGGAATATGCAAACGTTTTTAGTCCTATTTACGGAAATTTCCCTATGATGAGGATTCTCTCAACCTTAGCATCTTCTTGCCATGACCCATCACCTCCGGGTGGAGCTAAACCGATGTATGCATATTTTGCTCGAATATGCTCTTCACGTATATATCTAAAAATAAATACATAATTAATTAGTTCCCATATCATCTTTTTGTAAAATAAAAGGATCAGATATAATATGTCCTAAAATTTAATTCTAAAAATCACCTATCAAGAATTAGTAATCGACCCGTAACTGTGCCTCGTTGACTAGCACTTAGATAGTCATGTGATTTTGGAAAAGCGTAAGGCCAACTTTTAGTTTCTGCAACCATCTGGTTACATTTACAACACAATATGGTACTGTTATCTAATATAGTTGTGAATTCCATGAACAGCGTAACTTCAAGTAAATAAACACATACGTACATATTAATATTATGTTAATTAAGTTACCTCTTCTTTAGCATTTTCCCATAGAAGTTTTGGATTATCCCCTTGATTAGAATTGAGATAAATAAAAATTGGTCCGAATACCTTCTTCCATGCTTCACCATTTCTCAAGCTAACTATATAGTTATAGTCAACATAATGGCGGCTGGAAAACATCTAAAACGCAAATAAAGAAATGGTACATACATCACCAATCAAATTAAAGGTTGCAATTCAATACGTAAGCAAGTAGTATGTTGTGCTTAGGAGCTACTTTGTAATAATATATAGGAGACATAATACATACTGATAAAACTGTCGGACCAACATGAGAGGTAAGATCTTGTCTTATTGGTCCTCCAGCACGAAATTCATCGGCTCCGGTGATGATCCAAAATCCAACATGTTTTTTGAGACAAATCCATCCATGTACTTTATTATCTTTATTTTCTAATGAGTACTGGTACTTATCGTCCACCTAAATCAATATGAAAAGCACATAAATTAACTAAAATAGGCGAGTGAGTAGTATAAAGGGAACCATATAATAATATAACTAACTTACCTCTCCCCTCATACTAGGATTGGATGGGTTGGTTAGTAAGACAGCTTCTTTATAATCAAGTTTCTTTCCAATAGATCGATCTTTATCACTAGGCATTTCTCTTTGTATCTCATCTGTAATGACCATATAGTTGAACCTATATATAAATATGAAAGGAAGAAAATGCATTTAGTATGATCTAATTAATTAAGGAAAAGGTTCATTATGAAGCGTCAAATCAAATTTTGGGTCTAATTAATAATCACTAAAAAAAATTACGGGATTGACACGGATTTAGCACAGACTAACCGATGGTTTTGTACCAAATAGCTTGTGCCAAAATGTTTTTGGTGAATCTTCTATGAATTTTGGTGAATCACTGCCAAAAATCTATGTCAATCACGTGTTTTTACAATGAATGTAGCTTACAGTCCTCGTTGTAGCTTGATAGCTAGCCGATTTTCAATGATATCTACATCAGGCCATCCTTTAATATGCTCATAGATTGCGTACGTGTAAAAACCAGATCGTCCGGGCAACATTACATACCTACAATATGTATAATCAAATATTTCCTTCTCATTTCATTGCATCGAAAGCATGCACATAAGTGTCATTTCTATTATATTTGAAATTTATTGACATGAAATATGTGTGAGTACCTTTTATCTATGTTTAAAGGAACACTAGAAGGATCTTTTCGATCATAGGCTTTTGTGAAGGAGACCTCGATTTGGGTTTCGTCGGATGTGATAACTCTAAAATGTTTCGCATGTATCCTTCAATACAAGACAATAACCAATTTGTAGATTCATTTTTGGAAGAGATTTTGTAGCAGTTAATTCTTCAAATCATTGATGAAGTTAAAAACTTACTTGTCAAAATTGTCACAATTGTTTATCTCTGGTCTGGTCCATACAATATCCCAATATCTACATACAATATAATGTCATTGATGAGTTTGCTTATTCTTAAATATATTATGTTGGATTAGTTATTATTAATTACTATTCTAAACAGTACAACATATAATTAATGTTTATTTATACCCTCTATTTGTTTCTTTGAAACTATGCTCAAGTACATTATCAATTCCATGATACTGAATGCCTGCAATTGCACCTGTCGGATTTGATAGTGTCACTTCGATAAAACCATTGTCCATCACCACCTGTACAAAATATAAAAGTGAAATTGTTTTGTTAAACGATTATTCTTCCACTACCAAAAAATGAAATGTTCAAACATTATTTTCAATATATATATGAATTTATTTATACTCATTTGTTTAACGTACATGTGTATGTGTGATGTCGAGTCTCAATGAGATAGATGATTTTAGTTCTTGAGTGTCATTTGTCGGAATTGACCTGCATGCAATTCACGTTGAAATAAAATCAATTAATATCACATATAGAGTACTAGTATTGATCTAATAAAAACTGGTTAATATAACAAAAGAATATTTTTGTTGTGTGTATTTTTGTTGAGAAGACATCTTAACGTGTAAAATGAGATTTAATCTCAGCCGTCCAAACTGTCGATCTGATGCACAATAACCCCTATCTGATGCACTTTCGAATAGACCTTATTTGATGCACTTTTCGAAAAGTGCATCAAATAAGGTCTATTCGAAAGTGCATCAGATAGGGGTTATTGTGCATCAGATCGACAGTTTGGACGGCTAAGATTAATTCTCATTTTACACGTTAAGACTTTTTTTTATTTGATCCAAATTCTATATATATAGAATAAAGATCAAATACAAATCATGTTTCATTTACAAAGTACAAACTTATCTTGGCCATCCGATGAGTTGATCTAAAGGATATAAAGGCAATGTGACATTTTTGTAATAAAATCTAACTTTTCTAGGGTGCAACTCGTTGAACGTTAATGTGCAACTGCAATTTTATGACTATATAATATGCAACACTTTGAACCTTAATATGCAATGCAAATAACGTCAAGGTGCATCATACAAACATTTGCACAATAAGCACGTACAGTTTGTACTTGATCTTTCCCCTATACACACACACACACATATATATAAATATATATAGTAATCTTCCGGTCCCTCCCTTCCTGACTGGAGCGCCGTCCGGCCTCCTTCTTTTGGGGAGGTTTCCGGTGGTATTGTTTGCTCAAATTTTGTGTGTGTGTTCCTCATCAAGTCTAGTTCATCCATACCAAATTGGAGCAAAAAATGTCATCGGGAAGGCCGTCAAATGATTTTTGAAAGTTAACTGGTCCGGAATATACATATAAAACGCAGTTAACTTTCAAAAATCATTTGAAGGCCTTCCCGGTGGAATGTTTTGCTCAAATTTGGTATGGATGGACTAGACTTGATGAAGAACATACACAAAAACATTGAGCCAAAAATAACACGGGGAACCTCCCCAAAAGGAGGAGGCCGGACGGCGCTCCGGTCAAGAAGGGAGGGACATGAATAATCCTATATATATATTAATTTCATGTTCAAAAAATATGGTATATGTTCTCACGTGTATAACCATTTGTTTTGGTGATTTGTTTATTCCATGGGGGGTATGGGGGAGGGGGGCTGGGGGGAGCCTGAAGTAATTGGGACTGAAACTCACTTCATTGAATTTCAAACTCTTATGTGCCTAGCGGGATTCGAACTCGAGACCTCCCACTAGGCACGGTAACCTCACAACCAGCTGGGTTGGAATGCTTGGTTGGTTTTGGTGATTTTCCTACGGGAATATATATATAGGATAAAATATTCATGAGCATGTTTATCCTATATATATAGGATAAAATGGGAATGTCATCTTATGAGAGAAATGAGAATAAATATTAACCATTAAAGTAATTCAATTATGATTTTATTAGTCACGTTTCTAGTCATGGGCAAATTTGACATTTCAATTTTCTTGCTTGCTACATCCAAATTGTTTCTCCCTACTTTTTCAATGCAATTAATTCTCTTTCTATCATTAGACAAAATTTATCTCTTTCCATTATTGTTCTTTTGCTTTATTTATTTTTTCTTTGTTTTCTTTTACTTATAATAATTTCCTACTTCAATTCTCTTATAATTTTAGTAATTCATCATATTGCATACTTTTATTAATAGTTTATCTTTACCTGCTATCTTTATAAAAAATTACACAAATATTACTACTTTAAACCCTACTAACAAAAATAAGACATTTTGCCCTAACTTACTCCCATGATGCGATACGTGTTCCATATTAATAGTCACTTTTTTGTAACTCCATGTACTATTGGTAATATTTATGTAAAAATATCTATCTTTATTTAATTTATTATATGGTATAACTTTATTTTCATTCACACGTCCACATTCGTTTAATTTAAATAATTTGTGCACGTTTTGTAATCTTTAATTCTTTATTATGTAATTTTGATATATTATTTTCATATATTATTATTAATCAATATCATAAATATGTTGATATCTTATATGCTAATTGTAAACCTTTGATTTGCTTTTTTTGTACTAAGATATAGCTTCATGATTATATATGATGCACAATGTACCTTTTAGGCAATGTCGTGATTGTTGCATACATTAAAGTACATCTAGTAAAATATTGAGTGCATGGTTAATTAAACAAGAAATGTGCATATAACTTGTATGTTTAAGACATAATTTCATTAATTTCAACGGATTCAATTTGTTCCACTAATTATGTAGTTACCTAACCAACTGGAATTAAAAATATGATTAACAAACATATACTACCCCTGTTCTTTTTTAAGTGTAACATTTCTTTTTCACGTTTGTCAATAAACAACTTTGACTATTAATATATTTAATTTTCTATTACTAGAAATTTTAAAAATACTTTTTGAAAATTCAAAATTTACGATTTGACTTATTTTACAATTTTTTTAATACATTAATAAATAAGCGTAGTTGACATTCATGTAATTTCCATGTGTATGTTTGTGTCTTTTGATTAGTTTAGATTGATTATTACTTTGGAAATTACACACTTTTGGTGTAATAGTTTAATTTGTAAAACATTTGTAATTTGTTTAGATTAGGTTCATTCTGAGCTCACACAGGTCCAAGAACACTTTAGGGACGAATGGTGAACATCACAAGTGGAAGGAAGGTGCAGAAATTCCAAGAAAAAAATGAAGATCCTAACTTTTGGTATTGTACCCGGTCGAGTATGCCCTATACTCGATCGGGTAAGTCGCTGAAAAATCAAATCGGATCAACTCGGGAACAAGGCAACATGCAGGGGAGATTTTGACCACGATCGAGTGTCTATACCCGATCGGGTGACCGACATACCCGATCGGGTATACTCCAGTTTTTTACACTTCTGCGCAGCAACCGAGTACCCGATCGAGTGCCCTTACAGCCCGATCAGGTACACGACCCGGGCCCTGAAAGCCTAAAAAGCCTATAAATACACCCCATTTCTTCCACAAATAGATCACCAATTCCTATATACTTCTAAGCTCAGTTTAGACAAGTTATTTCTTTATATTTTCTTCATGTTTAGTCTCCAAATGAGGAGCTAAACTTTTCCATCTTGGTTTTGCTACTTTGAAGCTTAATGATTTGTAAGTTGTGAGTTATTTTCTTTAATCTTCTTCCTTGAATATTAATTACTTCCTATTCATATTCCATATTAATATTTTGAGCATTACTTAAAGGATCAATTAGTTTTGTTTCATGTATTAATTATTACTAGAATCAATCGGTTAATACGCTTGTTATTAATTCGGTTCTTTCAATGGTAGTAAACTTGGATTGTTAATACATGCTTCTCATGGTTAATAAGCCAAGAGGAATTAATTATATTGATTAAACCAATAAACCGATTGTGTTGAGGTTATCAATCTCAATCGTTTTCATCTTAAGTTTATTGCTACTATCAAGTTAATATACGGCGCTTGTTCTATATCGACTCGATAGTAAGTTTTATTAATGAACGCATCTCATTATTAATAACTACCCTCGATGAACTGGATATACTCCTCGATTGAGTATTCGAGAGGAACATAGTTAAAGATATAACCGGGATCGACGAACATTTCATTAAGTGGATAAAAGCAAAGCCAAGTCTACTTCTCATTAATTAAACCACATAACTCGTTCATCTTCGTGTTTAAAAGATAATTTAAGTTTATCAACCAAACATAAAACCCCCCCGTTATTACTTATTCATTTCTATAAAAAGAGAAGTGTTCCTTTCCCTGTGGATACGAACCTTAC